ACCTGAAACCACCCCATTTCTCCCATCCACCCCCCTTTTGCCCCAAATCAACCCCCAATTTACCACTTTTACCCACAATCCACGCCCAAAACCACCCCATTTCTACCATGCACACCCCCCTTTGCCCCAAATCTAAACCCCCATTTACCTCCTTTACCCACTATCCACCAACTAACCCCATTACCCCATTTATCCATTGATTATCCCGAATCCACAGCCCTCCCAATTTACCTCCATTACCCACCTCGATGCACCCCCCAACTGAACCCAATCCGTCCCCCCACTCACCCCCCGCCCTCAACCTCCGGTTCCAACATGGCCGCCCACCTCGTTGATATCGCGCTCGTCTACTGATGACTCATAGTCATCCTCCTGGTTGGTGGTGGCCTTGCTGTCCCTCGTGAGGCCCTCGCTGTCGGTCAGCCTCATTGGCCTTCTCCTCCGGGAGTACCTGCTGCCCCTCAGCGCCGACAGGGCCGAGACGGTGGAGAGGGCCGAGGGCGATTCCGAGGGGTCGAGGTCTCCAGACTGCCACAGCACGCGGAGGCCCATCTCATCTGACAGCTCGGGGTATCTGGCCCTCGCCAGCCTGTCGTCGGGGGCCTCCGTCACTGTCAGCTCGCTGGGATCCAAGCTTGTCGACCCCGAGAGGTAACTGTTATCCACCCTCAGCCTCTCTGGGACCGGCAGCTCTCTGGTCCGCAGGCCTGGGGCATCTGCTGGGTAGAGGAGAAGGCGATGGGTAAGTGCGCCGTGACCTCGAGACCAGGAGGACCGACTGCTCTACTACGTCTCTGAGTGAGAAAACGTGGGTAGGATTTGCCGAGACATAGGATTGTGGAACCCCGACAGCGTGGATAAGAGGCCATTTGGCCCATCAAGTCTGTACCGACTCTCCAAAGAGCATCCCACGGCCAATCCACCCCTAACCTGCACGTCCCTGGGCACTGTGGGAAAATTTAGCATGGCCAATCCACCCTAACCCGCACATCCCTGGGCACTGTGGGACAATTTA